TCCCATGTTACACCACTGATTGCCGGTTGTCTTCCAGGTGCGATTCAAGGTACTACTTATGACCTTTAAAGCGCTCCATGGCTTAGACCAAGGGTACCTGTGAGACCACCTACTGCCACCGGTAGCCTCCCACCGTCCAGTGCGATCCCACAGAGTTGGCCTCCTCAGGGTGCCGTCGGCCAGACAGTGTTAGCTAGCAACCCCCAGGGGGGAGAGCCTTCTCTGTGGGAGCGCCTTCCCTCTGGAATGAGCTGCCCCTGGAGCTTCGTATAATCCCCGACCTCCAGTTCTTCCGATGCGCCCTAAAAAGTTGGCTTTCCCAGCAAGCCAGCCTGGCCTGAACAAAACAAAACAAATTATTGATCATTGTTAATTTTAATTCATTTTTAAAAAATGTTATTATCAATTCTAATTGGGTTTGTTTGGGATATTCAATTTTTTTTAACATTTGTATTACGTGTTTCTTTTAATGTTGTACGCCGCCCTGAGTCCTTGGGAGAAGCGCGGCATATAAATCTAATAAACCAAACCAAACCAACCAAACCAAACCTCAGAATAGTAGATTTTGCCCTCCAATGATGATAAAAATTCATCATTCAGTAAGAAAGGGCAATCTCAGATGTCTTCTTCCCAGCCTCAATGGCAGCCTTTCTTTTTTGGACACCTTCCAGATGTGTGGACTTCAACTTTTAAGATTTTTAACACTGATCATGGTAGCTGGAAAATTCTGGAAATTAATATACACATCTGAAGGGCACTCAAGTTGGAGAAGGATGCTCTGAGGAAACATCTTTCTTTCTTATATGTTTGAATTCTCTTGTAGAAAGTATGACTGACCCACCTGTTGATCTGATTATTTTTTAATATTATTGTTTAAAATGCAGATTAGTTTCTTCTCTACCCAGGATGGAATATCTCTTCTGTGCCTGCTGTAAAGCACACTGGAATTTAATTTTGATGACATGTGGGATGTAAATGGCACTCTCCAAAGATACATGCTCGCTAGAGCCAAGCACATCTTGCTCTGGAAAAATTGATTAAGTAGAAAAAGACAGACTAGCTGCACAATATATTTTGATTAGCAGCATGAAGAGC